TTCCTTTATACTTGTGTTATAGACACTCCATATGAAAGAACTTATCCTTTCCTTTATACTTGTGTTATAGACACTCCATATGAAAGAACTTATCCTTTCCTTTATACTTGTGTTATAGACACTCCATATGAAAGAACTTGCAAATCTGCGGAACTTCCATGAAAGATTTAATATGTGGCTCCAGAATCTATTGAGAAAGAAGTGAGCAATTATTTTTAAATTTGTCATTAACATATTCATTTTAACTATTTTATAAGATTTATTTGCTATGTTTGGGACATTAACCTTTCTTAGTTGTGTCTTTATTTTATAAATGTATGTAAAACAGATGACTTATTTAAATCTTTTTTCTTCTTAGAGAAAGTCTCACTTCCTTTAGCAGAGATGACAAAACCACATTTATTTTTCATATCTTTGAACAACTGGATGATAAGGTTGGTTTAAATTCATTCTTTTTTTTTTCTGTTGCAGACAAAAATAATCTATCAAAACAGTAACTGTTTGTGGTTTTATCCACTGTTTTACTACAAAGGTAAACAGTAAAATGTATAACAATAGCATCATTGATTCTGGTTGTTCTGTATGTCCAGAAAAGTTTCAATCATATTGTAGTATTTTCAGGTGGAACCAACTTTCCTTAGAGCAATGTAGATTCATCAGATATTTATTACAGCATTGTTCAGAGTTCCCTGAGTAACTGAGTTCATGAGTTTTTAAACCTTGTGTTACTTACTGCAAAGGTAATATCTGACTTACCCAACATGACTAGCAAAAACTTAAGGGAGATTGTAACCTCAAGGCATCACCTGATATACCAATGGGGACACTGCTGTTGACAGCATTACACAGTGTGTAAAATAACTGATTAGCTTGAAATATATTGAAATAAGAAGGTAGAAATTGTATGATATCCCTTCATACCACACTTCCACACCCCCATTCCCCCTTTTACTTCAGGTTTGTACTCAAGCCAAAACTTAATTTGAAACTTTAAAAACAATGAAATCTATACACATATGTTGATAAAGTAGTTTTAGAACACTTTCCCGCTACACAGACAGCATGACCATTTAACAAAGAAAAACAATTCAGTAGTAGTTATACAAATGCCTTTAACACTGATATACCATACAGAGTCAAAACTTTTACAACAATACATAGCTGGTATGACAAAGAATACACTTTAATAATGAAAAAAATGGTTATAATGCAAAATCAAATTAACAAAGCTCAAAATATAATAAATCTTTCCAGGAATTCAAATACAAAAGCTATAAAAAGAATGAAAGAATACACCATTCAACAAAGATTAATGATTTGAATTCAGTACTAAAACATTGATTAATTCAAACACAGTGGTGAATTGTTTAATTATGAAAAATGTAAACATAAGAATAAATAGCAGAATACTCATTTATATATTTACAAAATCTGGATATCAGCAAAATATAAGACATGAAAATAAAATAACCTATCATTGAAAAACATGGATAAAGTAAAAAAGCTTACAGAGAAGAAATCATATAATTAAACAAACCTTTAGCAAAGAAATACATCATATTACAAAATTAAATTGAGAAAATACAAAATAAAATTAATTTTTTAACAACTAAATTATAATAAATCATTTTTCCATATTAGAAAATACAGTATAACATAACATTAAAGGACAACAAGGAACCTTTTCGTCCATCTAGTCTGTACTATGTACTAAATTAAACTAAACCCTTAAAAAAAAGAAGAAATTTCAAAGCTAACTGTTAGCATTTAAATTTTTATCCTTTAAATCACCACTGCTTTCCACTGTCAATTGTCGATTTGAGTGATGTCTTTGGCTAAATATCATTTTCTGTGTTGTTTATTGCTATTTTTCTCTTCATCGTTTTCATTCTTTTTTTTATGATGTTCACCTCTTTTTCTATTAATAACTAACGAGTTTGTTGTTTTCTATATCATTTTCGTAGCTAATTAACATTTCCTGTACCTAACTATTTAAAGGCAACCTGTTCCAACCACTTTATTAGAAAAATAAACCTGTTTTCACTGAAGATGACTCCTACCTTTCCAAAATTTATATTTATGTCCCCTAGCCTTACCATTTTCACCATTAAATGTGAAAAAAGATGATGCATCAGTGCTATCAGTTCCCTTAAGGATCTTAAACACCTCAATCAGATCCCCTCTAACTCTTCTTTTCTCGATTGAAAACAAGTTCAAAGATCTTAAACTATCCTCTTATGATAATAATTCCATAAAATGTATCGTTCTAGTACCCTCCTCTGAACCCTTTCCAAAAATTCAATGTTCTTTAGGAGGTAAGGAGCCCAAGACTGAACATGATATTCCAAATATGGCCTAACCAGTGACCTGTACAATGAAATTATAACCTCTTTTGATTTGTATTCAGTATTTTTGTAGATACAACCTAAAATCGTATTTGCCCTACCACTAGTAAGATCACACTGCTTGGATACCTTTAGAGACTGATCAATAACAACACCAAAATCTTTTTCTTCCTCAACACCGTTAAGGATATATACATCAAAACTACACTCACGATTCAAACAGTGGTATTCCACATGCATTACCTTGCATTTATTATAATTAAAAGCCAACTGTCATATACTTGCCCAACTCACCAAATAATCCAATAGCATCCTTCTCACAGTCAGTAATGCCTAAAACTTTAATGTCATCAGCAAATTTAAGTAATTTATTGACCATTCCTTCATCTATGTCATTGATGTAAATCAAAAAGAGCAAAGGTCCTAAGACTGAGTCCTGAGGTATCCCACTTGTGACATTAATTCAGTTGGGCTGAACTCCATTTGTAACAACCCTCTGCTTTCTTCCATCTAGCCACTCTTCTACCCAATTTGCTAACTTATCCCCCACACCTATAGAGATTTTCTTTTTTTTACAAGTCTTTTATGTGGCACCTTGTCAAATGCTCATCTACATAAGCAGTAACCTCTACAAAGAGTGTTAAAAGATTTGTAAGGCAAGATTTTCCCTTAGTGAAACCATGTTGACTATCCAACAAAGTTCTAAACTTTGTTAACTGACTTTGCAAAGCATCTTTTATCAGACTTTCCAAAACTTTTCCCTACAACAACTAATGGGTCCATAATTACTGGGACACTTTTTATCACCTCCCTTGAAAAAGAGAAGTATCATTAGCCAACTTCCAATCATCTGACACCTGCCCATTATTCAAGGAATTAGAAAAAATAATAGCAAATGGCTCACATATCCAATCCTTAATTTCTTTTAAAACCCTTAGATAAATATCATCGGCCCAGGTACATTGTCATTTGTTAAACTTCCCAATTTTTTATCAACAAGTTCAGAATTAATGTGATCATGTTGTTTCCATCTAGCAACTGTCAGGTTGAGGAATATTGTTTAAATCTTAATTAGTAAAAATATAATTTAATCCCTATAATCATCAGATATTAGCCTTTCAGTATCATCCCTTAAAAGGCTGTACTCCCATCCTAATATTTTGCTTACCCTTAATGTATTTGAAAGAATCTTTACTATTTAGTTTTAAAATTTCACACAACCTTATTTCATATAGTTTTTTTATTTCCTAATTTCTCATTTCACCAACTTTCTTGATGTTTTGTAATCCTCCAAGTCTCCCATCATTGCAGTGTATGTAAACTTCTTGTATTTAAAAAGATTTTCTTTAATTTTATTTCTTGTATCTTTTGTGGGCCAACCTGGGTTTTACTTGCAGCCACCCTTTAACTCTATAAGGAACATGAAAATTTCATGTCTTCAAAATTTTTTTTTTAAATTTTTCCATGAGTTTTTCATAAATAATAACACTATTATTTTCCACGAGTTTGTTGTTAATAATGATGTTATTGTTTTCCACGAGTTTTTCATAAATGATGACACTATTGTTTTCCATGAGTTTTTGTAAATAATGACACTATTGTTTTCTACGAGTTTTTCATAAATAATGACACTATTGTTTTCTACGAGTTTTTCATAAATAATGACACTATTGTTTTCTACGAGTTTTTCATAAATAATGACACTATTGTTTTCTACGAGTTTTTCATAAATAATGACACTATTGTTTTCCATGAGTTTTTTGTAAATAATGACATTATTGTTTTCCACAAGTTTTTCATAAATAATGACACTATTGTTTTCCATGAGTTTTTTGGAAATAATTACACTATTGTTTTCCACAAGTTTTTTGTAAATAATGACACTATTGTTTTCCACGAGTTTTTCATAAACAATGATATTTTTGTTTTCCATGAGTTTTCTTGAATAACATTGTCGTTGTTTTTCCCTTGAGTTTTTCAAGAATAATGGTCAGTTCTTTATACTTATAAATTGTTGTTTTACTGCTTGTTGTCACAAATATTTTAAAATCATTGTTTGTAAAGGCCAGCTACCTGTGTTAATTTTGACTTGTTTTATGACTATTATCTGCCAGAACAAATATCTTTTAACTTAAAATGACTTATTGTAGACCAGTAATTTTGGATTCATCCTTTTAACCAAAACTTCTGTTCATAAATATGTATTATCAATTGCCAAACTCTTGGTTTAGTAGTTACTGTGTTACTTATATTTGCAGCTTTATCTTGTGTGGGAAAAAGATGAATGTGTTTAATGTCCTTTCATAGATTTCAACGATGCTCTTGTGTGGAAAAAAGATGAATGTGTGTAATGTTCTTTTATAGATTTCAACGATGCTCTTGTGTGATGCTTTTTTATAGATTTCAATGCTTTTTGTGGGAATCAAAGAGCTCCAAGCTGCAGTTGATGAGAATTTAACAATGGAAGAATGGAAGTATATATTTAAACTGGGGACATCCAAAGTTGTGAGTCATTTTGAACAGAAACAGTTTTTAGTTTTTATTTTAAACTCTTATAGAATAAGGTTTATTAAATTGTGGTTTGATATCAATGTACTTAGTCAGTTTAATGTAGCTGGAACTCTTTAGAAATGAACAAAATGTAGAGAATGTTTAAGCTACTAACATTGTAGAAGATAATCGCTTCTTCCTTATTTGCTTTCTTCTTAGTCAAGCTAATCTTTGAGGGCATTAAAATCTTCCAAAGACCTTCCCACTAGTAAAAGCACTAGGTTACTTTAACAGTTATGTACCAGAGCTACAAAATTAAAAAAAAAAGGAAAATCTATATGGTCAACTTTGTTTTAACCTAGAAAGAAAATTAAATATCTAAAGGTTCCTCAACCCAATCTTCTCCTCACAATCTAGCATATTATCTAAGTTCTCTCAGTCTTCTTTTTACAGCCTGGTAATTTATTAAACCAAATCTTAGTCTATTCCTCTTTTTACAGTCTCGTAATTTATTAAACCAAATCTTAGTCTATTACTCTTCTTACAGTCTGGTAATTTATTAAACCAAATCTTAGTCTATTACTCTTCTTACAGTCTGGTAATTTATTAAACCAAATCTTAGTCTATTCCAGTGGTATAGCAAGGGTTCTCAGCACCCAGGGGCAAAGACAATTTTAGCACCCCCACCTCTGAAATGTTTTGATTATTTGTTTTGTAACTCATTACCCACTTAATGACAATAACAAAGAATTAATTACAGCCTTACAAAGGCCTAAAATAAAGTCACAATATAACATCTCACGATATCACAACTGTAAACCTGGAACTAATGAAGTATAGCCTACTAGAAACAAATTATGTAAGTACACAATACTGGATGACATAAATATCAAAATGGTTTATCAAAGTCATATAGCTAGAGTAATCTTTCAAGCATGCAGAATAAATTTCTGTTATATCCATAGTTTTGAAACATTCACGTGATTCTATCAATTTCTCTTTCAAAGAATCAAGATCAGAAGCTGCTTCTCTAAAATTCATTTTTGGGTCCTGAAGACGTTTCTGCATTCGATTGATAGATGATAAAAGATTTTTTCAAAAATGCAAAAGTACAAGAAAATCAAATGTAAGCATGCGTTGCAAAATATTATGAGCACCACATTTTGTTTCAGCCGTGTTGCCATTCTCACTTAATTGCTCCAACAGTCCTAGCAATTCATCCAGTTTTTCATTTACAACTTTTACTGCCTTTTCTCTTGCACTCCACCGTGTTTCTGATTCATGCTTGACAGAGATCTTAAGCTCCTGCTGCAGTTCGTCCCATTGAATTGTTGAATGAGCAAAGAAATTATAAATGGCTTCAATTGTACCAAAAAAGGTAATAACTGTTGTTTCCTGACTTGCCGCATGCTAAGTTCAAACTATGGTTGTCACAGTTTATAAACACTGCTTTTGGATTTTTGTTCAGAATTCTTTGTTGAATGCCTGACAGATCACCTGACATGACAGCAACATTATTATAACATTGTGAACAACAATCACTCAATAAAATTCCATCCGCTTTTAATTTTGTGCTTATTGTTTTCTCAATATTGGCAGCGTCTTTTTCCTTTATCTGTATAGAGTCAATAAATGACTCTTTGACTTCTACTTTTCTTGTCTTAAAGTCAATGTCAACAAACCGAATCACTTAGGCCAATTGCTCATGATGGGCTAAATCAGGTGTGGAATCAAACAGAATACCATAGTATTTGTTTCTACGAATTGCTGACAAACCATAATTTCGCACATGTGATGCAATGAGATTTATAATTTCAGGAGAAAGATAAGATGTTGACGTTAGCTTGTTTTTAACACGCTCTAAATGCTCTCTCATTACTGGATCATACTT